CAAAATCTATATATTGTACATAAAACATCGTAAGTCAAGACCAGTTACTAATCACCAAAAAGAGACTAAACCAATTAAATAGTATGAAGACAATTAATTAATATTGTTAAAGTATTTATAATAAAAAGTTATTTAATTTTACTGATGTCACAAAAGTTAATTATCACATTTTTTAAATTAAAAAAAAAGTCACTCAAATCTACCTACATATTATCATCACATAAAGCAAAAAAGGGCCCACATTAAAACTAATGGGGGCTTCAGCCTCAATTATTGTTTACCAAACATACATATTTATGTTGCACAACTTTTAAAAAATAAGAAATACACAAAGACTGCACACCCAATCTCAGGATATAATAAATTAATAATGGATCGTAGGAATGACAATAGAACGGTGCGAATAAGATGTGGGGTGAATTTAAGCTATTGTGAGACAGGTGCTAGTTTAAATTTACACAAAGCGAAATAGATATAATTTTTTTAAAAAAAAAATTATGTTGTTGTGGTTAAGAATAAATACATATTATATTATGTGGAAATTGAAGTACCAATTACCAATTATCAAAACAATTTTTTGAAAATATATATCAAATTGAATATCACATGTCCAACACTAATATTTATTGAGTTGTTTTAATTATCAAGTTTGAACTTTAAATAACTTAATTATTACATGAAAGCTATATCTCTATAATTATTTTTATTTTTATGAGCAACTAAAGGTAAAAGATATAATAATTTTGGGTGGGGCACGTTGAAAATATCAAATTATGTTGTGTGGGGTGGAATGGGTTAAAGCTTTCATGAGTTGAAAAAGAATTTGTTCAATAACTATTCTGTCCCGCACCACTTGCCATTCCTAATAGGTGCACTAATGGAAAAATTAGAACAAAAATAATTAAACATTTATGATTTAAAATTTTGAGATTTTTAGTCACTATCGAGTATTTTTCACAAAAAGATTGTGTCTCCATGTGATGTTTTGGCAAAATTAAGTGATTCTTTTATTGAAAGACAATTATTTAATTGTTTTTATAATATTTAGATAAAGTTAAATCGTTAATTCGTTACAAAATAAATATGTCTTAATAATTTGGATGAAATAAAGAGAGAACGAGTATGCATTATTATTGAAATTGCTAACACTTTAGTTGGTAAAGCTCTGTCATTTGTCCACTCGACAATTTGTTGTTATATATATATAGTTGGGACTTAATTTTAAGAAGAGAAATTATACAATAAAAATAATAATATATTTAATATAATTTCATAAGCAGAATTTAAGGAGGGTGGTGTGTGCAATTTTATTTCTATTTTGTGAAGGTAAATATGTTGTTTTCACCCTCAGATAAAGCATATCAATATGGAAAGAAAATACAAAAATAAAAAAATCATGTTAAAAATAAAGGAGAAAGAAAACAATAGCAACAATAAATAATATGGACCAAAGTGAAACAATAGGTAATAATAAGATTGAAGACTTAGATATAGTATATGTGGGAGTAATAATATTAATAAGAGAAACTAAACAACACTCGATCGATTACCTAGTATTCTCGACCTATGCATCCTCCTATATAGGGTCATGTCTTCGTAAACGTCAAGCATATCGTATCTTGTCTAATAACCTCTACTCAATATTTCTTCGACCTACTTCTACCTCTCCCCACATCCATATATAATAGTCAACTCCTCACACCTCTTCATTGAGATATCTGAGCATCTCCTCTTCACATGTCTGAATCATCAGTCTTACCTCTCTCATCGTGTCCACCACTGAGATCACTCTCACCTTATCTTGAATATCATCATTTCTAGTTCTATCTCTCCTAATATACGCACGCACACATTCATTTCAACATCTTCATTTTCGTTAATACTTTTATCTTGAGGACGTACGAATTATTTGAAGGGCCAACACTTCGCCACATACAATATATATGGTTAACAATTACTTTATAAATCTTTTCTTTTAGTCAATTTGTGCAGAATTTTTTTTTTCTGATTAGACCCGTTTTTGTCTATAAATTATTTCTTTGTAACTAAATTTTTATATCAATCATCAAATGAGAAGTTGTACAAGAATCATATCAAGGCTATACACAACGGGTCTCAAAATAAAATGTATATATACTACCTCAAAAGCAGAAATTAAAATATAATATAACATTGAATGATGGCCTAAGCAAGAAATACACTGTTCACATAACTTAAACTTAATACATATGATTAAAGATGGAGAGAATTCAATTATTTTATCATCGATTCATGATATTTGATTAGACGACTTAACTCTTTTTTACGAGTTTTTTTTTAATTTCTCATCCAGTGTTCAAAGCTTGTATTGAAGCTTTGACTAAATCCAAATCGCGCACTGCAGGGTCACTCGGGAGAGGTCCCAACAAAATTTTCTTCATATTCAATGCTCGAACCGAAAACCTCTGATTAATGACGGAGCAGTACCACCACTGCACCACAACACATGTTAATTTTACGAGTTACTCATACCCTAAGTCTTATTAGCATCCATAACAAATTGTAAATGTATAACAAGATAAACTCTTTTTTTAAAAATTGTTTAAAAGATAATTAACTAAGCATAAACTATTTAGTCAATGATTTATGTTCACTTTAAATAAACAATGTGTATTCAAAGTTCAAGTTAGCTAGTCATTTGAACAAGCACAAGAAAATATGATAAATTAAACCCAAATTAAATACTTTTTAATTACTCCTTCGTATTAAATTCGAAAGATGTACTTAGTTTATTTTGTAGCTTCTGTTAGAGGTTAAAATCTATACCTTTATTGGATTTATCGAAATACTATAATTAATTAATTTATTATTAAATATAAAATGTTTCTTCCCGTTAATAACCAAATCTTTTAATCAGTTCATAAGTACAATTATTAGCATTAATTATTAACCGTCCATGTGAGGGATCATGTGGTCAACTTACATAACAAGCACAACTGAACATTAAAATAAAGAAAAATAGTTGAATGGAAAGGAAAAGAAAAAGGTAAAGCATTATTTATATTTTTTGTATTTTGAAATTATGAAGACATTGGTCATAAATCATAAGTCTTTTCCAAAAAATCAAAATTTGAAATATTTATATTGTTGTTACTTTTATTTGTAATGACATGAAATGAATTTAAGTGGAAAAGTAATTAAAGATTCGTAATCCCAACTTAAATAAATTGAGATTGAAATATAGTTATTAGTAATACTTTACTCATCAGAATAATAATTGGTTAAAGTTATAAGTAATCTTATAATGCTTTTTAGAAGCAAATTGATGCATTATTTAAATAATAATAGGGTAGAGAAAAGGCACTTGTATCACGCAAATTATGCATTATGTTGCATCTAATGGTGTGGTCGTGGTTGAGAATTTTGAGATCGCACATTTAAAATTTAGTATAGACAAAAAAAAAAATTAAGTAATTCATTTCATCTATATATATGGCATTGAATCGTCTTTATTTTTTTCCTATTTATTTATATTGATATAAACAAAAAAATTCAAGATAAACATTCGGACTGATTCGTCATAAATTTCGTCATAATGATAAATTCATAGCAAAATCATCAAAAATCAGTCACAATTTAACATGACATTCTTTTACATGCATGAACATAAATTTCCAACTTCTACCAGAATGAAACCTTTTTTTCTTTTTTGGTTTCCAACTCCTACCAGAACTTCTTTTTTGATTTTCCATTAATTGTTGGATATTTATTATTAAAGTTAAATTAATTTGAATTTGTGTTCAGATATTGCGTATTTAAAGATAGTGCTTCTTATTAAAGATATTTTCATATTCAAAGCTTGAAATCAATAATAATAACAACACATCCCGTGTAATATACCACAAGCGGAGTCTATGTCTCTTGGGAGGATTGAGTGTATGCAAACATTATCATTACTAGAGAAGCTGTTTTAAAAAAATCTTAGGCTCAAGTACAAGAAAAAAGAAAAGAGAGAAAAAAAATATAGCAACTAACAAGGGGCAGTGCAAATCCTAAAAGAAAGGACCAAGAACAACACTATAGTGCGATAATCGAAACATAATAAACAACAGACAATGATAGGTATCATAATCAAGAACTACAATAATACAACTAGTACAACACAAAACACCACTAAGCTTAACTCTCGGCAAGCAAGACAACACTCCACTACATACTAGTCTTCTACCCTTGTATGCGTCATCCACACCTTTCTATCTAAGGTTATGTCCTAAGTTACCTTTATTGAAGTTGAGTCTGTCATGTCCAATCACCTATCACCAATACTTCTTTGATCTACCTTTACCACTCCTCATACCTACTATAACCAACCTCTCGTACCTCCAAAGTTCGAAATCAAAATCTCTTATTAAAGAAAAAACAGTTCGTCCAGTTCATCACTATAATTTGCAATTCATGCAAAAACACCAATGAATAAAGATAAACCATAGTTGAATATGAGTGTTGGGGCAAGTACCAAATGGTCCAAGGGGTGATTAATTACATTATAATGTGAACATGGAATGAAGCAAAGGGACAATTTCTATTGGGTCCCAATATAATTTGTTTGTATTATTATTATTATTATTATTATTATTATTCAATTATTTATTATTATTATTACTATTATAAATAGAAGGGTCTTTGAGGGTTGATAGAAGGAGGCTATATCATCAACCATTATCAACATTGTCCTCTCTTGGTATCCTATGAATCTACAACCCTACCCTTATACCCTAACAACAATAAATTTCTCTCCCAATTTTCTTAAAATTTCAAATTTCAAAGAAATCTCTAACTTCTTCTAGCTCCTACTACACCTATTGGCTATAATATAAAGTAAGTAGTACTAATTAGTACCTTTTTTATCTATTACTAGTACTAGTACTAGTACTAGTATCTTTATCTCTTCATAATTTTGTGTTCTTTTATCCTTTTATTTATTTGGTTCACAAGCATCTTTACCATTTATATAGTATTGAAAAGAAAAAAAGACTATTTTTTTATGCAGTTCTTGATGGTAATATGTGAGTCTTGATCTGTAATTAGATCTTATTGTTCAAGAATTGTTTTGTATTTCCTGCTTCTGTCTCTTTGAAGTGATTTTTTTCATTTGATTTGAGTTTTACTCATATTTTAGTCTTTCTTGATGATGGATGATGATTTACCTTGGGATCTTCACATTTTATTCAATATTGAAAAGTTCTGTGTTTGGGTGTTTTATTACATGATTTGCAATTTGTGGTCTGAGATTTCCTTGTTATCCTGAAAAGGGGTTGTTTTTTTTTTTCCTTTGTCTATTTACATTTGGTATCAGGAAAATGAAATTATTACAGTTTTTTAGCTGAAGTTTCTCTGGTTCTTGGATCCATGTTCATAAAGATTTGTTTTTTCAATGGAACAAAACTCAACTTTTAAAGGAAGAGAAGTACTTTCCAATTAATGGGGTTTCCATTTCTTGTTTGAGATGTGTAACATAGCTCCAATTTTCATTTCTTGATTGGGTTTCTGCTTTTATTGGAGGAGTTGTTCCATTTATAATTGTCTTACTGCTGTGGCCTGTGGGTTGTTTTAACTTTTCCTCATAATTGACTTATTGATTCTTGTTTCTATGCAGGTCCAGTTCACTCAGCTATTCCAGAAGTTGTTGCTAGTAGAAAATCTCTTAGTTTCAGCCTAGGTAAAAACTCCTTTTTTTCAGAAGTTCTGTTCTGGATGGCCTCTTTTTGTTTGGATCATCTTGACCTTAATATTGCATAACTAGAAGCAATTATTAGTCTTGTCGTCTCCTTATGCCTCTATTTTCTTACTATCCTGTTGTTGTTACTGCATATGTCTTCATAAATGTTGTGTTTTTTGCTTTCCTTGAGTCGAGAGTTTTTCGGAAACAGTCTCTCTACCTGCCAAGGTAGGAGTAGGTCTGTGTACACTCTACCCTCCCCTCTGAGCAGACTGTTTATTCCAGTCTACTAGGAATATTTGGAGAGCAATTTTGGGAAGTTATTTTTAGCTAAATGAGTATGTAACTTGGCTGTAAGATGTATTTTGACAGACTGTTTTGCTAAAAGAATATGAAGCTTGTGGTGTTGCTGTTCTTGTTTGAGAAACTATAATGCACTTTTTTCATTGGTCAGTTTATAGTTTTGCCTGAAATTCAACAAGACTAACGGTTGATGTTTCGTTTTATGACTAGATTCCAATCCAGTATGGGCCTCTCACAGTATCCAACTCCAGCAGATGCAGGAGTGCTCTGTGTTATTCTAGTGAACACAGCCATATCCATCTCCATTGTCAAGGAGATGGTCCGATCGATCCTTCATGTGATTGGCATCCATATTGCATCATGGGACGATTATTCCATCGAAGGCTCCTTGGACTCGTTTGAATGTCGCAGAAGCCCATCAGAGTCATATATGGAGGAATTCAGAAGCCATACCCCTGCAATTCGTTATGATTCAATCTGTATCTCTAACCATGCTGAGAAAGAGTGCTCCGTCTGCCTGACGGATTTTGAGCCTGATGCAGAGATAAACCATCTCTCATGTGGCCATGTTTTCCACAAGCATTGTTTAGAGAAGTGGCTCAAGTACTGGAATGTAACTTGTCCACTTTGCAGGAATTACATGATGTCTCAAGAAGGCGAAGAAGATACTTGTCCTATGTGAGGTTAGAAGTTTATCGAGGCTATAACACTACTATACATCTTGAGGATGTCCTGGTGTACAGCTTAGTAGTGTACAGGCTGAGTACATGCAATGGTTGATCTTTGACATTGGGTAGTTCTGTAGCTTTTCGTGTTTGTAATGCTTGGCGTCCTCTCAGAGTGACGGGTCTCTTTACTGTGACCAAGAATTCATACATTCGCGTACATAATATATGGAAGATTTTGCTATGATGTTTTCCATCATGAATGGTCTCTTTCTGCTTGCTTAGTTATGTGTTTTCTGAGAGGTTATTTTCAGTGTCCGGGAAGCTATGTTGTTTGGATTCTTAAAAAATGTTGACCTACCTTTGTTGGATCCTCTTAAAAGGCACTACTTTTGAACGATTTGACAAGCACCAGACAACATTTTTTGGGTGGGGTGGAGGGGTTAGGCAAAAGCATGTGCAATGATTGAACTCAGAATCAACCAATAAATAATATAATGTACAACCAAGCATTCTTCATGATTTCACAACTAATCAGAGACAGAAAACTTTAGTCCTTATTACATGTTTAATTACAGATGAAATGCCATAGGAGGACAGTAAGAATTACCCTAGATATGAAACATTACTTTTGAGTCATTTTCCAGGATCCATCCTATGCATCAGAATTTGAGTCATTTTTCAGCAGCCAGTTCAGAGAGTTTCGAGCCAACGGACATGCTATTTCGAGTCAAGCTAGCACTCCTGTGGTATCTGCATCTGAAAGAACCGGCGTGTGTGGTTGGTGAGCACAAGCAGTTATACTTTGCGCTCTTTGGTTGGCCTGAAGGTGAGGATGGCATTGAAGATGCCATATGCTTCATGCCCTCCAAGACACTGCTTGGCACAATCAACTTCTTCTTAGGTCTTCCAATCTCAATTGTATGTTCACTCACACTTGATTGTTCAGCCATTTCTTGAGTGGACTCTGCAAAAGAGAGCCATTTTTAGAACAATAATCTTTTGTATGATCCTTGCAAAGTCTTACGACCATGTATAGGGGCTAAAACCCGTCTAGAGCCAGATGACGAGGAGAGGGTACTGGTTGGTATTATTTGTCATGAATTATATTGCATGCCATAAGAGAATCTTGATTCTTGAACTAGACATAGTTTCATATTATGAAAGAAATTTTGATCGATGCACATTTATAGCATTGGTGAAAACCGTTAAAAATGAAGGTTTAAATTACCATTTCTTTTTAATTTCTCTCTTCACTTTTCCAAATGAAATTGGGTTTTTTTTCTTCCTTGAATTCAAATAAAAATGCATGATTGTATGTCAACATTATGTACTTTGTTTCCCACCATATGTCGACATTATGTTACCATGATCAAAATTAACATCCAATTTTTCATTATTAAAGATTCAAAAAAAAAAAGGCATTTACATTAAAGAGTATAAAAATAAAAAAATCATATAAAGATAGTAACATAACATTTAATACCTGGAAAAATCTGATTGGGGGAATTGTTGAAAGGTTTGTAATGAAATAAGAAATATGAGAAGAAGGAAAAGGAGAAGGATTCCAAGGAGAATTCCTCCCAAAAGAAAAAAACAATTCCTCTCCAGGAATAATTCTTAGTTTCTTCCTCATGTTTATGCTTTGCCTTTTCCTGAGGCTCTTGTCATTTCTGTTTTTCACACCACTATTTTTTTTTCCTTTTTTTACTTTTTATTATTATATTAAAATATATTGGGAGAAAAATTAAGGCTTTTTTCTCATATAAAACATGTAGCCAAAAACAAGTCATCTAGACTCCCACAATCTTTGGTACAACAACAACAATGAGGCCTGGGAAGGGTAGAATGTACGCTGACTTTACCTCTACCTTGTGAAGGTAAAGAGGTTTTTGAAGGACCCCTTGGCTCAAGTGCAACGATTAAAAAAAAAAAGTGGTGTTGGGGAGTTGTAAAGACAGGGATAAGCTCTCAGAAATCTTAAAATTCAGATGTAAATTGCAAAATCATAGTAAAAATGCTGGCAATACAATCTCACAAATTCAATAAGAAAGCTGACTCTATAAGTAGAAGGATGAATAATAGTAGCAGTCAGTTGAAACTTGAAACCTTCTGTCCCCTTCAGTTTTGGATAATCTTCAAAAGGATTCGATCTTTACCGGGCATAAGAATCTCAGAATGACCAAGTCTAGCTACTTACTTGAAAGCAAGAGATTTTGCGGGAACTGAAAATACACGACTCAGTTGTCAATCTACCTATTTCCGATGACACAGGAAAAGCATGATTCTATCTTCAACAAGCCAACGAGTAACAGTATGTAATAAAGGATGCATCGAGTTATTCCATATCTGTCAAGTTCTACTTGTGGAGGATAAGGAAATATGCTAGAATGCACATTAACTACCCATTTTGGCCATAAAGATTATTCACATTTTTCCGGAATCAAAGCTTGAGAGAAGCATTTTGATTTGCATAAGCACAAAATGAGATCAAACAACAATTTCACGATTAATGCAACTGCAATTTGAGTCAGAAACACAAATGAGATTCTTATTACTTACCAAATGAAAGGATACAAGCTGGAAGCAGACACCGAATACAATGTAACTACAAGATAAAGAGGTACAACTAAAGAAATAATCTGTGATTGCTATTCAAAATAGATACTTAGGAACAAGCTTACCTAAAACAACAGTATGGTATAGATTTACCCAAAAACTGCAAGAGTAAAGCTTCAAACGCCAGTCAGAAATTAGCTGGACGATGTGCATGTATTGATCCCATCCTTGCAGTCTCTGGTGAGATCATTAAATGTCTCAACCTGCTTTTTACCCCTAAAGAAAACTTCCGTATCAACTGAAGCCCTCATGTACCCATCAAATTCAACTGGATTCCCGTTATTAAGTTTTGCTGTCTCTGCATACCACTCACTTTTATCATCCCAAAGATCTTTATATTCGTGAAGGAAATGGGTGGAATACTTGTCTTTTAAAGGGTCAAAAAAGGATGTATCTGGTTCATTAGTTGCAATATACAGGTTCCTACCGTCGTCGATCTTGTCCTGCAAGCTAGATAGTAGAGCCTCGGGAGAAGTATCTTCTGCCAAATGTGGCCACATTTCACGATTCCCTGCCTTCTCACCCCTCACAACATGAACTGAGTCATAATCCCAATTTAACCTCGATGAAATAGCTGAGACGATGTCCATCAATCGTCTTGATTTCCATACCAGATGCCATGGTCGTTGAACAACTGATTCTGTTTCACCCTCACATACCCTGTACCAGTAATTATCTGGCTCCACAGAACCAAATTTCCTCGTGATTAAAGTATCCTGCACTCCGGATAACTTCATCGGTGTAATCCTAAAATCCTCCACAAGATGAAGACTTAATCTGTCTTTCTTATGCCATTGGTCCCAATCTGACCAAAACTGGACCTGATCGAGGACTGACGCTGAATCCTTTAAGTGCTCAAAATCGAAGTAAAACCTGAAATCCTTTCCTTCCTCATCTACACCAGATGAAGTGTAAATCTTGGATAAACAAATACTTAAGTCCATTATCAAGGTCCTGTTCAGATATTGAGCCTCGCCCAATGCACACATGAAACTCCAAAGGTAATGGCTCATGCTCTTGCACCTATCCCCACCTCCAGAATAAATCAAATACTTACCATTACCAAATGAACTCTCCGATTCCACCACAGGAAGTGAGTCATTTACAGCTTCACCAACCACAGGCAGAGCAATAGGTTCACCCTCTGTCTTAGGAGTTACCTTCTCGAATCCCTCATCTAGCTTACCAAGAGTTCTATCAGACCCTGCCCTGTTCTTTCTCTTCCTCTTGCGGGCATTTCCACCAGAATGATAATCACCTATACTGACCACATCAAGGGTGCAGTTCTCCGACCTAGAAACCACAAAAGACCGGTAATCCTTATAAAAGGCAGCAGTCTTCCCTTCCTTAGGCCTAAACCGCCACGCCATATGGCAGGAACTATCATTAGACCCCCTGACTGGCTTCCCAAACCGGTAAAAATGTATGTCCTTAAACTTCTCAATGGCAGCTCTCATCAACAAATGAAACACATCCGGATCAGTGCAATCAACAGGATCATCAATCTTGCCACTACAGTCCAAATTATTCTCAGTGACACCCCCACTACCAGCATTCTCCGGTACATCAACATCATTGAGGTTAATGAACGTCGTAAACGCTGTCTGATTAACACCAAGAAAGTCCTCACCAGTCCTCACAACACTATCATCAGCTCTAAATGTAGCATTAGATTTGGAAGTAAGGAAATTAGTGATTTTTGCTGAAGGGTGGAACAATGGGTCTTCAGGCTGATAAGTTGCAGCAATTATAGTGAAAACCAAAACCCCAACTACAAATATAGTGAAACAAAGATTCCCAATCATAGCCATTGCATTTTGACCCAAATTTTCTGGCCTGAAACTTCCACTCCTAGACAGCAAAAGTGACGGCCGACCCAACATTTTTAACCCACTTTTTCTCACTATAGCATTTAAGCTTCAAACACAACAAGAACTAAATCTGTAAAATATGCAAAACATATAATTAGACTACTACCACCACTCAACAAAATGACTAAAAGGGTATTCAAGAAACATGAAATTTGACAAAGTAAAACCAAGAATTCATAGATCTGGGTAAGTACAAACAAGAATTGACTATGTTAAAGCTGAAATTATGCTTTCAAACGACTTTATACAGTATAAAGATTACTTTTTTACCTCATACAGCTTGGTGATTGAACATAGATTTCAGTACTTCTCTTTCATTCTCTCTGTGTGTGGAGAGTAATTAGTTAAGTAAAGCTAATTTACTTATTATGTACACCGACAAAAACATCGGGGGTCGAAATATGATTAGCGAATAGAGTGAGGCCTAAATCACGGAACAATATAAGCATTATGTGTGTTTCGAAAATTTGTAGGGTCACCCCCCCTAGGTTTTCTTATTGACTAAATTATCCTTTGACTAGCTAGCCGGACTAGTGGGGGCCTATCCAGAGACATAGTAGTCGGACTAGTGGGGGTCCTATCCGAAGAGATACCGAAAATCATGCCTTTCGAATTGAATGTAATGTCTGTCTTTTGAATTTAAAAAAAGGGTTCGTTGGGAAGAAAGATTATGTGCAACCTGTAGAGCACATATAAGGCACAATCGAGTTGTTCACGCAGCGAATTACTCTCTCGAAGAACGAGAGGGGTCTGAAAGTAATAGCCTTATATTATGGCCGGCCCTGACTTACTACCTTTACGCCTTTAGCAAACAAAAATAGGAACTTTATTAGTATAAAATAATTAGAGACCGAAGATCATTACTTCCTCCGATCTATTTTACTTGCAATGATTATTAAAAATTATTGATCTAAATCATGACATTTTTCTTTTCTCGAAAATAAAGAAGGTCGAGAATGATCTACTATGCATTTTATCTTTTAAGAAAAACAATACTTGTCATTTTTAAAAATTAAAAAAGAATTTTAAAATTAAAAAAATTGACCTTAGCTTTTACTCTAATAAATATGGAAAAGGATTAAAAGTGTTCAAAATATAAAAATCAAGTAAATGTATTGTTTTTGTTTAGGACGGTTACGGATAGAATCCTAATTGTAGATCGAGAAACTCAAAAGAAAGAAAAAAAATGAGTTCAAACTCAATAAATAATTCATGGATTTCGAACTTAATACGCATCATAAATTTTTCGTGTATAATTTAAAGATCTTTTTGTCTAAGTTATTGGCTCATGGTCCTCATTTAGGAAAGGACGTTGCTCTAGCTAGAACTCGATCGAACAAGAATTATTCCATCTGTTCTCAATTTCTTATTCATTGTGTTTGGCCTGGCTTTGTCTCATCTCAAACCATAACTAATTTGTAAGAAAGCAAGCCTTTCAAGTAGGGCGTAAACGAAGGCAGGCGATTCAATCAGAAGATAGAAAAACTAAAATTTTGAGTTTGGGCAGTCTGAATTTTTTTAAGAAGCAACTATGGGACTTCCTAGCGCGAATTCGGATTTATTCAGGCTCCAATAGGAGTACTGGATACTGGGTGGGAAACAAAAAAAAAAGCTAACTGAATTCTAAATAAACTGTTTATACATACAAAGCAAGGAAGTCAAGATTAAAGGAAGAAACTGCATATGGCCAAATGTCAGAGACCTTATTCAGTGAATTTTCTTCTGCAGAGGAACCTTTTCTAACAAAATGGTAGATATAACATCATGAAAAATGGCAATGTGCAAGTACTTGCAAACTTTACAAATGTGTGATTGAATTAGAAATGTACAATGCTCATTAAGGTCAAGAAAATCACCTAAGCAGGACCACTGGTTTTACCACCAGCATGTACTAGCTACTAGTTTCCGGTCATATGGCCTTTGCAACTCCGCGTCTTTCCACATAAAATCGGGCAGAGGAAGAAGAGCTAATACAGTCCATCATTTACATAGCTGCTGTTTTCTTAGCTGTATACTGGTCTATGTGAAAACCTGAAACTATCTAATTGTTCA